ACTCGTGCAGTATAGAGGTCCTCAATGGAAGGCAGGTTGGTAGTAATTATTTTTCTGCAGTTCTAATTATCCTCTGAAGTCTGTGTCTGTCTTGTTGGGTTGTAGAACCAAACTAGACAGCTATAGAGGTGCAGATGACAGACTCAATAATTCCTCTATAGAACTGTATCACCAGCTCCTTGGTCAGTTTGAGCTTCCTGAGTTGGTGCAGAAAGAACATTCTTTGTTGTGCTTTTTTGATGATGTTTTTGATGTTAGGTGTCCATTTTAGGTCTTGAGATATGATAGAACCTAGAAATTTGAAGATCTCTACTGTTGATACTGTGTTGTCTAGTATTGTACGAGGTGGTAGTATGGAAGGGTTTCTCCTAAAGTCTACCACCATTTCTACAGTTTTGGGTGTGTTCCGTTCCACATTGCACCACGAGGCTAGAAGCAGAAGCATATTATTAGTATCTTGTTCTATTCTGCTTGGTCTGGCATCTCCTGCCTCAATCCTTAGAATCCAGGGAATCTTTTGTGTTTTCTCTTTCCAGAATACAGTGTTATGTATATTTCTGTATTTCATCCATCCTCTTCATCTTCCATATAACTAATCTGTTCAGTTTCTTATGGGACTTATGAACTTATGATCATGCAAAATGATTTGTGATGTCTTAGCTATGCAGCAACAGCATTAAAAAAAGACTTAGCTTTTAGGGCTAGCTACTTTTCAAAGAAAAATAATGCCTAATTTCATACATCAATGATATTTTTAAAAACCCTAGTCCGGTTTCAGTATTCCTGAATAATTAGGAATAAATTGGAGTAATCTAGCTATTGGAGAAAAACTGGGTGAGCTTCAATACTTCTACATTTTGAAGAGTCAACCTCAAAAATATTAAACATTCCTTGCCTACTTCATTTGTTAAAAAATTAAAAAGTACTATTAACTAAAAAGGTTTTTTAAAAAGGATTTTTTTTAAAAAAATAGTTTTTTTAAATCACAGTAGGATGTTAGATAATATAAAGTTGCCACTTTTAAGCACTTCAATAGCATAAACTTAATTAATATTTAACTGATACCAGTTTCAGTAAATAATTTTGTAATAGTTTTGTCTCATTGTTTTATAATCTGCCTTGCTAGGCATAGCAAAAGAGCAGGTTAATTAAATTCCAAAACAGCAGATAGAAAAAAATAGCAATTGATCTTACATTCTTTCACACACTAATGTTATAGATTCTACTATAAGCTGTTATTAGTAGCATTATATTCATAATGGTAAAAAGAGCCAATTATCTGCTCTTGTTCAGCAAAATGATTTATGCTGTGCAGAGGAATGGAGATATTAAAATGGCATCTCAAAGATACATAACAAGTGGATCCTACCATTTTTCTAGAAAGCAAAAAATCACCAATTTTTTGGTGATTGGCCAATCCATTCCATCTTACTTCATGGAAGGTGATATATGATTAATATTTCACATTTGAAGATTTTTGAGGAATGTTAATATTTACCAACCATTCTTATCATTTTAAGAAATTCAAAAGAAACATGAAGAAAAAATGAAAGATTTTATCACATATCTATTTGTAAAAAATTAACAACAAACAAGAACGTCTATAGGTTTCTGAAAGTTACCACTTTTATTATAGAATGTTATAAATAACATTTAATTAATGATCAGCATTGATCAGTTTAGTGCTAGGGTTGCTTCCAGTTCCATTAATCATATGTTTCATATAACACTTAAAAGTGTACACAGCCAAACCCATGATCCTTATGCTGGATGAAAATAATTGACATTTCTTTTTTTTTTTTATTGAAAAAGTTTTTCAAATACAGATTTTTCCCCCTTTTTCCTCCCCTCCTCCCTAACCCCCCCTCCCCTCCCCCCATGGCTTCTCCAAAATAAAATCCAAATTGATATCACATTATATAATACTTTACCATCCTTTTACACCACCCCCATTTGCTAACCATTTCTTTCTAACATTATTATTATATCCCCCCTATACTATACATTTCAAAGCAACTTTCAGCTATACAGTTATATAATAAATCCTAATTTGGCATTTATTCAACTCATAATCTACCCATTTCCTCCACCCCCATACATATATCTCTTAATTCAAATCTTTTACGTATATTAATATCTGAACATAACATCCCTTTTCCTAAACTAAACAATCAGTAACCTAACCTATCTCCACCCACTTTCCTACAGGTCTACCATACATAATATTTTTAATATCTTTGTTCTTTTGCCCACACCACTAAAAGATATTTCCATATATATATAAAATCCTCAAATGACTTTAAGTTTGTAATCCATATAGTATCTTCTGTAATGTTTTTCAACTGAATTATTAATTGCCCATGTTAGGGTAACATCAAGTTCTGCTTCCAACAGTATATTCAGTATCTTCAATTACCATCTGCTCCCATCAATAATAAATGTTTTCATATATAAAAAACCACCCGAGTGACTTTATATTTATATTCCATGTAGTATCTTCTGTAGTGTCTTTTGTCTAGATTATTAATTCCAACCACCACGTTAGGGTAACAACCAGATCTTCTGCATGCCCCAATTCCATAGTTCTCTTGCCTTATAACTCAACATATACGTAATCCATTTTTCAAAGAGTCCAAAATAGAAAGTTCCAATCCGCTCAATGAAAGGCCATCTTCCACATCCCAAGAACACCAGCACTGCAGAGATCTGTTATTCTTCTCAAAATAGTATAAGTCTATGATTTGCCTCAGTTATATTTTCATGTATCAGCCTTCTATAAATCCCGCTTATTATATTTAATCGTCTCTTAAGTAACTGGCATTAGTCTGTTGGCTAAAAAAAAAGAAAAAAATTTTTTTTTGTTTAGTTTAAAAATTTTTAGTTTTGTAGAACCTGCTTCTTCTTTTCTTAACTTGTTGTGGTTTAGATCTCCATCCTGGTTGCCTTTCTAAGACTTGTATATCAGCTGGTTGAATTACATGCTGGTCTGTAACTTGATAAGACATCAGATCGAAATCCAAAGCCGCCTCTCTTATATTTATAGGTGATCCAGCTATAGCCTCTGAAGGAGAATCCAAAAGCGGCTCATCCAAAAAGGCCTCTGTAACTTGTTGTTTTTCCATTACCTCCATCTCCATCTGCTTAGCCTGAGTTTCAATCTCTTGTTCATTTTGCTTTTCTTTATCCCCCTCCGGTGTTCCTAACACTGATGACATACGTGGAGATGTTGGATCCATTTTAAAAACCTTGTAGTAAAATTCTTCCACTTTTTCAACAGTATTTAGTTGATATCTTTCTCCTTGATATCTCAATATTATACCAACTGGAGCATCCCACCTAAATGGGATGTTTTGTTTCTTTAATTCAGTCACCAAAAATCCAAAGCCCTTTCTATCTTTTAACATCTTGGACGGCAGCTCTTTATATATCCAAATCTTCCTTCCATTCATTTCTAGAGTGGAGTTAAAAGACTTTTGCACAATATCATTTCTTATTCCTTTATCAGTAAAGTAAATCACCACATCTCTGGGCAACTGCCTTTGCTTTACCACCCAAGAATTTATTCTGTAGGCCTTATCAATCTTACAGGATACCTCTTCAGGACTAACCTTTAAAATCCCAGCCAGAACTTCAGCAGACATCTTTCTCAAATCATCTCTGTTATTTTCCTGTATTCCCCTCATCCTGACTGCAAATTCCATGGATCTGAATTGCATCATTGTGACTTCATTTTCAATCCTTTGTTTTATATTATCTGCATTGTAAGTCTCCTGATCAGCTTCCTTTATTTTAGACTCTACTTCTGGGCTATTTTCTTGAATATTTATCAAATCATTTTCAATTCTTTGTATTTTATTATCCAGATTATGAATCTTATAATCAGCTTCCTTCATTTCAGACTCTATTTCTAAGTTGATATCTTTATCTATTTTGACATTTCTGAAAGGTGAAAGCAGATCCACTGCTGGATAAAAATGATAAGTGCAGTATTAAATTATGAACATTTTAAACATCTTCATAATCTTATGCCTGAGATAATTCAAATTCTGTTTTCTGGGTTGGTTTTATATTATTTTTTTAAGTATATAAATTAGACACAATGAATTATTAACTCTTAATTATTTATAATTAGGGTTTGTATGCTGCCTCATTTCTTTGGTCTAGATGCCTTATAATATAATGTGATACAAAAGCAACAAGTAAAATAAAAATAAATCCTTATATCAGAATTGGCCATGAATAATCAATATTTTTTTTAAACAATAAAGACATCTCTAACTATCTCTAACAATAAAAGAAAATAAGTAACAGTCTTAGTATCAGCGATCTTGTACATATTGTCAAAAACCTTAATTACAGCTCAGGATGTATAACAGCCATTCCTTTTTTTAAATTTTTTTTTAAAGAAAATATTTTAAATACAAATAATACAAACATAGTACATATACATCTAAATACAAAAAGAAAAAAAATACGAATATTACAGTGCACCCCTACCCCCGGAGATCTTTTTCCCCCCTTATATTTCTTCTTCTATAACAACTAAAAGATATACAATATATTCCAATTGTCCCCTTATCCCCTCCAAAACAACCTATATTCTTGAGTAGGTTTATTCCCTTTACCTTCCACCAACACCGTTTTTATAAAATCCCACCATATTTCATTATAATTGTTTACTTTAATCATACAAGAATGCTTGCCCGTTCCTTGAAGTTTCTGTGAAAGAGAAACATCTTGATTGCCTTAGTGATAAAGAGGAGGGTCTTCTATCTTCTGGGGGAGGACAAAAGCCATAGCAGAAGCAAGGGGTTTCCTGACTCTTCTAATTCACAGAGGGAGGATATTTGCAAAATTTCCCTTTCTTCTAGTTTGTCAAACACTGGGATAATTCTGTTCAGAATGGACAGTCTCAAAGATATTCCAGTTTACTAGATGTAATGAAAAGAATAAAAGTTCATCATGTGTCTTACAATTAATATATTTGTTCTTATTTTTAGGAACGACTCCTGATGAGCCTTTTGCCCAGAAATGTTGCCATGGAAATGAAGGAAGATTTCCTTAAGCCACCTGAAAGAATTTTCCATAAGATTTACATTCAGAGGCATGACAATGTTAGGTAGGATTGATATGAATTTACAAAATAAACCAGGCTATATGAACTTTTCATGTATCTACAAAAACATTTTGTATCTACAAAAACAAAGAAAATCCTAAATTGTATATTTTTTAAGTACCCAAAAGAAAAGAAAACTAAAACAGGAAAAAAGCAAAACATATCTCAACCATCTAATCCTACATTGCATCAACAGAGGGATAGTTTCAAGATCATATGAAGTGATAAGACTGCTTTATATTGCACTGGTGAAACCACACTTGAAATACCATATCTAATTCCGGTCACTAAGATATTAAAAAGATGCTGAAATTCTAGAAAGAGTGCAGAGAAGAGCAACAAAGGTGATAAGGGGGTCTGGAAGCCTTAACTGAGGGATCTAGAAACTAGGTAGTGAAGAAAAGGACTAGGGGTGATACAATGACAGCCTTCTAGTACTTTAGGAACTGTCACAGAGAAGAAGGAATCAACTAATTTTCCAAAGCACCTGGGAGCAGGAGAAGAAGCAATGGGTGGAAGAACATTAAAGAGAGATCCAACTTAGAACTAAAGAAAAATTTCTGGACAATGAGAACAATTAATCAGTGGAATGGCTTGCTTCTGGAACTTGTAGGTCCCTCAAGGTTTTCAAGAAGTGACTGGACAGCCATTTGTCCAGAATTGTAGAGGATCTCCTGTATAAGGCGTTGAACCAGAAGACCTCCAACATCTTTTCCATTCCTCTGTTCTTTCTCTCAAGATTACCAAAAATGGTCAATTAACATGGATATCTATCTCTGGATCATTTAAACACATATACAGATATTTAAAGCTGGGTTTGGGGACAAAATATGGTTAAGGTTTTATTTGGATAATTTCTTTTATCCCTGGTATTCTGGATTAAAGCAGTCAATAAGTGGACACTCTCCTGGTAGGTAATTTTTCTCAGCCATTTTTCTATGGCTCGTTTGTCCACTGAGGATTTTATTTTATTTTTTAACAATAATATAGCAATAAGAATAAAATGATGTACTGTTTCTTAATCTTGTTTGCAATACAGAAGATTAAGGAGGACCTTAAATTACAACCTGCCCCAGATGGATGGCATTGCTATTATGATACGATCGTATCGTTTTTAATTTTCTGTTTATGTTATACCTTACTTTCAACTAAATGAAGAACCATAAAAATATTAGTAATAAAAATGTAAAATATCATGGTAATAAAGACATGGTCATGCAGAAATACCTATGATAAAATAGAGGGAAGAAGCCACGTGACTCTGGTAAAAGACATTGCTGCTTTAATTAGTTGAAGAGAGGTTCTTCCTTGTGTTCCTGTATGTTTAAAAGCACCTCTTTTGAAGTACAGGTAGTCCTCAACTTACGACTACAATTGAGCCCAAAATTTATGTTGGTAGACATTTGTTAAATGAGTTTTGCCCCATTTTATGACTTTTCTTGTCACTGTTGTTAAATGAATCACTGCAATTGTTAAATTAGTAACACGATTGTTAAGCGAATCTGGTTTCGCCATTGAATTGCTTGTCAGAAGGTCACAAAATGGGATCATATGACCCCAGGATGCTGCAACTATCATAAATGTGATTTGGTTGTCAAGCATCTGAATGTAAATCATGACCATGAGGAACTGATAAGTATGAAGGAGGTATCATGGTCGTCAAATTAACTCAAAAATATTAGCTCAGCTTTATGAGAGATTTGATGGAGCTGAGATCTGCAATCCATACTTCTGCCAGCACCTTTGCTGACTGAGTATCCCATCTCTTCAGGGCATAACCAAGAAAAGGCTGGCTACGTAAAATAATTTGCAGTCATCAGAATTTGCTGATTCTCTGTGGTCAGCTTTAATACATGCACACACATATATATCCCTTCTTACCAATTTGCAGCAAGTTTCACAACTATACTGCCAAGACTTGCAAAGGTTTTGAACCAGTATCCCAGTTATTTACTGAAAATACAGTACAAATAATATACACTAACATAAATATTGTGATTTCATTACCTTCATAATTTTCTGGTGTATTTCCATTGCTTTTTTAGTTTTTTTTTCGTAGTAGATTAAAAATAGAGGATTATAATATATTTTTGTTTTATGCTCCTTCCCCAATTTTCTCTGTGAATTCCTTTAAAATGCTAACAAGTACATTATTGGCAAAATATGTCTGACTCTTCCTTTCCTTTTACAGTATATTATTTGCAGACATTGTGGGGTTTACCAGTCTGGCATCTCAGTGCACTGCTCAAGAACTAGTGAAGCTTCTGAATGAACTTTTTGGAAAGTTTGACGAATTAGCCACAGTAAGTGCATATGCTTTTGTCACCATGAAATTTAATTGCTTTGTGAATTATACATAGCTAAGATGTGTTTCTAATCCAATTTCCATCGCTTTTTCTTCTAAAAAGTCAATAGCACATCAAATACTTTTGTTAACAATCTATAAAGCCAGGTTTAAACTATTGATGTACCATTTTTGTGCTCATGATTGCTAAAAATTGCTAGCTTTGTTTTCTGTCATGCTGAGTTAGGGAATGTTGCATTATAGATGAAAATTTTAATATAATCTTTAAAAATAGGTGTTCCACAGGATTTTTTTTAAAACAAAAAGCCTGTATGCTGAAGTCTTTTTCATTCCGTAGCTTTTAAAAAATGTTCTATGCAGTCCTTAGCTACCAGAAGTCAGCCACCTCTAAAATAATCAGTTGGAGCTGCAAACGAATTAGTGATAAAAAGAATAATAAGAACTGACATTTCATCACCAATTGTTTCATTATACAATGGACATATTTACATAACACAATTAAAATTATTTTGAAGAATTAATATTGATCATAGAGTGCATAGAACGCAGAACTACATAAAGTTCTATTTTTTTTCACTTCGAAAAAAACTGATAATATTGATACAATTATGTATGTGCACATTTTCTTTGATTTATTAATTTCATCCTTCTATTTACTAAAATTCAAGCGCATTTGGTTCTCTGTTGCATGGGTGTGTTTGTGTGGAATCTACTTGGTTTTTTGTTCTGTTTTGGTTTTTGCCTGCTATTTCTGTAGTACTAGACAACATACTGCTTGTGTAGAAAAGAAAAAAAAAGTAGGAGAGAAATTAAGCATTATTTTCTCTAGATTAAGTTTTAGCCTATATATTTTATCACATTTAATTTTGCTTTTTAGCACCACTTTTAGCAGATAATTTAGTTTAACAGTAGCACAAATTCATTTTTCCTTTGTATTTCTGTTTTGCTAACCTGTACCATACTTAATATTTGAAAGAAGAACTTGCAATCACAGGGGGGGGAAAGTCACCAATCCATATGAGTTCATCTACCTTGCTGTTGCTCATAGTCTTCTTCTTTTATGTTCCATCTTCCCAATATTACAGCCTTATCTAGGACATTAGGTTTTGTGTAATGTATCTGAAATAGGATAATTTGAGCCTGATCATTTGTGCCTCAAATGAGAACTCTAGGTTGATTTGTTTGTTTGGTTTTCTTGATTGTGTCACAGTATTCTCAGGAGGATTCTCCAATAACAAAGTTAAAAAATGTCAATAATCTACTATCCTACTTCTTCAAAGTGCAACTTTAATTTTCATACAACATCACAGGAAATACTATGATTGAATGATTCTGTATGCTGTAGGCATAGACCATTTTTTTTACAAAAATACAAACTATTTGATTGATTGATTGATTGATTGATTGATTGATTGATTGGAGTTGAACTGAGCTGATTTAATAACAGCAGATAAAATATTTTTAAAAATATTAAAAGTGCCATGATAAAGTATTTTTGCCTGTTGCTTAAAAAATAACAAATGACTGTAGCTTAATGATAGTGGAAACATGTCTTTTTATTGATGCTGGTCAGATTTCAAATAGAAGAGGGACATTAAAGAAAGCGTTCTTAAAATAGAAGAAAAGTAGATATGGGAATTGCTGTTAGTTCAGTCATATGACACTTGAGGCTTTAAAGATAAGTATCAGCATATTGAAACGGTCTCAGGGGCAATTTGATATTGCAGCTCTATTAAAATTGCCTTACAATGAATCAGACAAGATATATTAGAGGCCAATATATTCTGTGTATAAAGCTAATCTTATCCATGATACATTACAGTCATTCTGCTGAGTTAACTTGGGAAATGGCCTAGCTACCAAATCAGATAAAACCTACAGTGACATGAACATCTTAATGAACTTATTTTTTAGAGGATGGATGAATGTGCAGCCATCCAGAACATATTATACAGCTTGTTCCCAAATACAAAATCATCTAGCCACCACCAATTCTATTGTGTCAAGATTCAACCCCACTTTTATTATCTATATAAATTACTGCATTTGGCCACAGTCATTTTGAAACTGTCTGGACTGCTAGATATATACTTCTATTCAACTGTCCTGAAAGCCTCCCATTTGTTTTACACTGAGTAATGGTTTAACAGTTTCGAAAACATATCCATGTATAAATATATTTATATATATTTATGTCAGAAGAAGTGATGTATTCCAGGAAGGCAGGCCCCAATATTGATGACAGATACTTGACAACTTTTAATAACTTTTCATTATTGTAACTACATAATGTGAATTTGCTGAATCAAGTCCTACAAGCATTTTTGAGGTAATTTGTCAAAATATTTATTTTCAAGCTTGATTTCTTGATTTCAGAATGTTATTATAACTCCAAAAATACAATATCAACCTTTTAAAGGAGTTTGTCCATGTCTGAGTTGATTACACAATTGTGATTAATTTAATTTTATATAGTCACATGTTTTCTAGAAATTAAAAATTGTTCAGGAAGCAAATTATTTGTGGCCACTTCTTTTTAATGTAATGCAACGGTCTTGCATGTCTGTCCCGTTCATATATGTAACAACAATACTTGGTATATCTGAGCTGCACTCGAAGCAGCAGAGCCACTACTTTTAGATTTCTATGGATATTCCATGTATATTCGGTGCAATGGATGGGCTTTAAAAACAGTTCCATGTTTTTGTATGTTGCCTTAATATGTGCAGTTTAGCCAACAAATACTGAAAGGTGTACATTGCCATTCTGTAACAGAGTAGCTTTGAGGCTTAACACTGATGAATCCATAAAAGAAGCCATTCTTTGGGTCATGCTCACAATCCAAAGCTGTGAACAAACCATCAAGGTCAGTACAAAAAATGAGCTTGTCACAAAGTTTAAGAAACTTCTTAAATCATCTTGGTGGTTTTGAAAGACAGAAATTTTCATACCTGCTGAGAGCAAAAGCTATCCATGCAGTCAAGTTCAAGTTCTGCTTCTGACTTTGATAAACCTCAGTCCCTGACCAGGTCATTTAATTCTGATTATGTTATGAGATGAGACCCACCAGACATACACAGTTCAGAAGCTTTATCATTGTCACTTTCTGTGCCTTGTCGGTATCTTGCAACATCTTCATCTGTTTCATCTAAGCTCCATTTCTTTGATGATTTTGGTACTGGCAAATTGTCATCATATTGGTCTCATTGCTTAAAACAGATTAGGGTATTTAATTGATTTCTTATTTTTATCAAAGAAACCAATGACATTAGTGAGACAGAAGTAACAATATGTCACATGATCATTCTCTTCTCGCCATATTTTTGGAATAGCAAATAGCATTGACTTCCAAGTTCCTCTGAGCCAAGCTCTAAGATAAATAGGACATCTTTCACAATAAATGTGAGGAGCCCAGGCCTGGACAAAGTACAGTTCATACACTTTCTCAACAAATCCAATTATTGTGCATCTTTGAGACTTAAGCATATATTCACCACAAATATAGCAGAATCTTCTTCCCGTTCTTTTCTTATTCATGTGATTCTCATCCTTAAGAGTATCTAACATTTGTCATCCCTCTGGCATTCTGCCTTAATTTACAGGTTATGATCATTTTTAACCTCTGGGGTTTAAATGCTGTATTTTCTAATCCATGGTATCTTTTTCTCCACCATTGTCTATCTGCCTTTTTCATCTCATGCATTTCTATAACCATTAGATTCTATCCCAGCTGAGAAGAAAAGCATTGAAGCTGCACAGATGTGCTGCATATTTGGAAACTATATTGAACTCTCAGCTCACTTCACAATTCTGGCTGTGAGCTAACAAAGGGATTGCTAGGAAAAAGAGACTGATTTCTTTGTTTGAAGACATGGTTTATCTTTCTTCCTTAAAGATCCACCAAGAAACTTTCAGAATGAAGCTCAGATACTAAACAATGGGTTAAATAATAGAATCAACTAATTTAAGTTCCAAAATTAAAAAGCTTTATCATTTCCCTTTCCAAATATGCAACAATCCAACTGTAGATAATAGTATGTTGAGCTGCCACAATTTTGTTTTGTATTGGACCAGGTTTTCGATGGAATTGTAGAATATAATTCTACAATTTCTTTTTTAGAAAAAAAGAAAATTTGAATCTGTAGAAAGACTTGAAAAAGGAAAAAAAAAAAGCAAAGCATCATAATGGCATATTAGGTCCCATCCCATAATATCTGGTCATATTACTTCTGAAGTTGTGTGTCTTGCCATATGTTTATTATTATTTCTTTCTCCTCTTTCCCATGGGGATAGATGAGACGACAAAATCCCTGACAACAATATCAAGAGACTGTGCATGAAAGCAAAGGGGGCACAGGTGTTTTTTTTTTTCTTTTGTACTTCCAACAAAAAGTAGGCATCTAATGAAAAAATGAAGAACCATAGAAGTAAAGCACTTGCTTAAAGGATAGTGCTACACATAACAAGAACCAGGAAGAATGTCTTTTAGAAACCAACTGACTTGCCTTATCTGAAGAGCTTTAAACTAAAACTGGAGGGGGAGGGAGACAGAGTTTTAGAAACTTATTCCAATTGCAAACCTCAGGGCAATCAACCAAGTGTTAAGAAAGAAAGGGAACTCAGACACAAAACAGGTGATGAAAAAAGCCACACAGGTTCAGTCAAAAAGAACTCAAATGCCTATACACCAGTGCTTAGAGTATGAGGAACAAATAGGGTGAACCTGAAATCCAAGTACAAAAGAGCAAATATGATATCATTGTAATTACCAAAACTTGATGGCATGAAACTCATGACTGTATCTAGAGGTATTTAAATTATTCAAGAAAAGATGTAGACTTGTAGAGGATGTAGAATAATGATGATGCTGGGAACTACCCAGCAACCACTCTTGCAAGACACATACTTTATATCCAAAAGTGCTTGAAAGGTGGGAACGAACAAACAGTTCATTTGTGACCTCTGTTTTTTTTTTTTTTTAATTTTATCTTATATATC